AAACCTCAACAGTACCCCACACTTAGGAAGGAATTCCATTAAAATGGGGGGGGGGGGTAGCTGCTTACTGAAGTTGTCAAGTGTGTATTTTTGTTTTGTTTTGGGGGGATTGAAGTACATTCTGATGGTTTTTAATTATAATTTGGTTCAACACAAAAAATGTACTGCCTTGAATCATGGGAATAGCTATTTGAAAGTAAAATCACACTTTCAAATCTCACTCAAATCTTCAAAGTAAACAGGTGTAATGTAGCCATTCCTTTGCACATAGTTCATAGCAACATCCTATAGAAAAAGCTTACATTATTGTAAAGATTATACAGAAATATACTATATAAAATACACAAAATATATTCAGTACATTTACCATCATATTAAGTATTATAAATATGAAATTTTACACATTAGATTAGCATGCCTATAAAGCACACCTCTGTTGGTCTATTAATAGTAGTAATAATTGAAATTGGATTGCCTTTGCCAAAATACAGTATGAATCTTGCCAATATCTGGAGTCTTTTATTTACACCATGACAGCAGTATATTCCAGCTGCACTAATGGTGTCCAACTTTCTGGCCCCACGGGCCAGATGATTGGCATGGGGTTGGTCTGTGGACTGGATGCCCTGGTCTTCGGGGAGTCCCATGGGCCCTATGCAGTAGATTGTACTTAATTAGACCAGTGCACAACCAGATCCAGGCATGCAAGGCTGGGCCACATGTACAGTTGGGCCAGAACACTAGATTGCAGCCACAGACCAACCCAGCATATGGCCCAACCCTGTGTGCCCAAATCTGGCTGTGCATTGATCCAACCACACACTGATGTGATCTAGTGCTCAGGGGGCACATCTACACATGATTAATGCAGACGAAAAAACTCTGGAACTTGTTGCTTCAGAGATTTTTGCTTCCAGGCATGCTGTTTGAACTTGCACTCAGGATCAAAAAACTATGGATATTGCAATAATATTGCAATATTGCATATTGCTCTAGAGTTTATTTATGCACATCACTCAAAGCCCAGTTGGAGCAGCTCGGGCTGGCGAGGGACCCAGGTCAGCCTGCCAGCCTAGAGCTGCTCCAGTTGGACTCCACCTGCTACAGAGCAGCTGGCTGAGGTATGACGGTGCTTCAAGCATGGGGACTGCCTGATGGCTAGTAGGCCTGTGCAAAGCCGCTAGTATTTGCTTCAGATTCGGCTGGTTCGGGGGGGCAGTGATTCAATTCAGTGATTCGAATCACTGTCCCGAATCGATTCAGTTGAATCTGATTTGGAGATTCCACTGTCAGTGAATGGGCCAAATCTCTGAATCGAACAGGCCCCATCAAAGGCTGCCCCACCCAGCGCCAGCATCCTGACACTTAAAAAGAAAAAAAAAAAAAAAAAGCCCTGCACTCACCCCCTCCTGCCAGGTGGGGGGGCAATCCCCACTGCCCCCCACTGCCCCACTCTGTGTGTGGAGGCTCTTCCATGAGTCCCCAGAGGCCTCTGTGATGGTGTGGCTTTTTTTTTTTTTAAAGTGCCAGGATGCAGGGGCTGGGCAGGGCAGCCATTGATGGGGCTGGGAAAGCAGGTGGGGGCCAGGGGGCACTCAAGGGGGCTGGGGGAGCAGGCAGGGGATGGGGCCTGATGGGGGTTCCCCCATGGTCCCCTTGCCCCTCCTCCATGGAACATGTGTAGACCCTGAGGTGTTTACTGTGCAGTTAATTAGTCAATTGCATAGTAAATGTCTTGTGTAAATGCACCCAGGACACGTTATCTAGTCTGTGGAGCTCTCCACAGGTCTAGACATACGGCAGCAGAGAAGCAAAAATTATTTCTGCCTCTGCTACTCTATCACCATATTTATGTACCTGTGGAGAGCTATGCAAAGACATGGCTCTATAGGCTGGATCTGGCTCACTGGCTGAAGGTTGAGCACCACTGATCTAGATTGTTCCCAATATTCCCTTCTTCATTGACTCCCACACCCATCCTTCAAATCCAGAAGCCCCCAGGGAAGTTGTTCTGGAGTAGTTCTTGACAGCCATCCTTCACATCTCCAATTCCAACATGATTGAGAGCAACAACTGGGTATGACCTTGGAGCATGTTTACTGATGTAGTTATGAGATCGGAGTGTGTGTGGGGGAATGGGTTGTCAAGGTGTGCTTGCAAACATCCCAACAGGGCTATAAGTTGCAAAAGCCTAGTTTGTAAAGGTTGGACTAGATTAAAGAGAACTAAAATATTTACTTACCGTTTTGGAAAGAAACTAATTTTGCCTTCGTTCCTGTTTATTTCCTGACTTAATTTGCTTATAATTCTGTTAAAACAAAAATGGCTATTAAAAACAAATTTAACCACCTTTAAACATTTATCTCCCCTTGTACTTTTATTTCAGTGATTATTTTTTTCAACCTATTTAACCCCTTTGAGGCCCCCTTATGGTAAATAAATTTGTTGGATGCAGAGATTTGAATTTGTGGCCAGTTGGATGGCTGTTTATGGCAGACCTGTGGAGAAACTTTCACCAGGTCTGAAACTAGTTTTAAGCAGTGTTTAAACAGCTGTAAGTTATGTCTCTCCAGGGTAGGACTATCTCTGGTCCGTGTTACCCAGCTTGTGTTACACTA